GGGGGGGGGGGAAGAAGAACAAGAACAAGAAGAACGCCTGGCAGACGCCGATCAGCGCCGCCAACGTCGCGGCCGAGCTGGACTGCCAGGTGTGTCCCACGTGCAGACAGGTACTGGCCCCTAAAGACTTCAACTCCCATAAGACCTTGCACACGGGGGAGGCTGAGGAGTTCCCTTCCTTGCAGTCAATCAGCCGTATCATCAGCTAGCCCCTCGTGTTTCCTTCGGCTCCGTTTGAAATTGCGGGGAACATTCACCCCTGCAGTAGTCACCACACCGAGTTTGGGGCTCATAACCAGTGGGAGATTAAGACGGTTTATAGTGATTTACTTTCAAAGGGGATCATTTTTGATAGTTTGAGTGAAGTTTTCACAGTTTAAAAACAGAGTTTCCCCATCTCGTCTCTTATTTCCACTCTGAGGACGTCTCCAGCTGGCACCGGCAACGTCCAACACGACTGTCCGTTTTATTTAACGAAGCCTTTACTTGAATCGCTCGCTAATACAAAAAAAATTGTACTGATTTACATTTTTTACCTTGCTTTGAGCTCTCACTTTCAGATATGACAAAGTGTTTTGTCAAAAGGCTGATTGAGTTTGTATGATTCCCCAGCGGGGCTGCTTGGACAAATAACAAAATAAACACATATGTTTCGGTTTAAATATTTAGCACCATATTTATTTAAGTGAAGCTGCTGTTCACTTGCTTTCAACTCTTCGTTGCTTCGTGGCGAGGAGGGACTGGTGTGTCGAGTGAATGGATCGTGTCGGAGTGTGAGTGACGGAGAGCTGCTTCAGGACATCGATCACATTTTAGATTTTTCATTTTCAAATGTGTACCAGTTTCTTTGTATACATTTCACATATTTGAATGTGGTTAATTGGCTAATTGATTGACAGGTGTTGAAAAAGGGTTCGAATGTAAATTAAATTTCACTCCACAATTAAATGGAGTATATTATTTGAAGTAGTACAAATCTACTCGTTGAGGATAAAGGGTAAACAAAAAATAATAAATGTGTTTTTTTTTGGTTTATGATCAAGGTAAACATTCATGATTTAGAATATATTTTAAAGAGGACTTCTACCCTTGTTTTTCTTTGTTTTTTTTAATGAAGCCGTTCGAATCAAGTTTTTAAACTTGGACTTCTCGGCACCACCACAGTGATTTATTCAAATGTCTTTTTACTGCGATTTGGATATTGCACTCGTCCAGATTGGATTTTGATCAAATATCTATTCATTATGCAGCCCTGGTATGCATTATTATTTATCACGACGGAATCCATAGTGCTTTCATGATGTTTGCAACACAAAGCAGCATTCTCATCTTTCACAGCCTTCACTTGAATTCCAGCTTCGGCACACTGGGTTTGTTTACGCCGTTTGTTAGAGGGACCGGTTACTTCCTGTACACAATCTGTTCATCTCTCAGGACCTTTCACCTGCACCGCTGCCACCTGGGTGTGTGTCTGTCGTGTGTGTGTGTCTGAATGAGTGTGTGTGTAAATAGAGTTTGTTTAACATCACACAGCAGCTTACTCTATTTTCTGTCCGTCTTCAATAAAGCTCTTTCTGTCAACACTGTTTCTGAATCTTTGTGTGGTGATTGGGAAACAACATGGATGGTCGGCTGTTTTATGCATGCATACATTTCCGCATATCTCGTCTTTATATATAAGCTACGTGTTTTTATATCGAGTATGTGTTGTGCTTACAATGCACATTATGCGAAATGTATTGTACCTAAATAATACTCTTAATACCCAGAAACCCATTCTTCTACTTTCTCTTGAAATGTGGACAGTTTTACGTTCAAGCCTTTTAAACGATCTGTACCTACCTCGGTCATTTCTTATTTTTTTCACCGTCGTTGGATGGAGTACATTTGCTTTTTTCACAGTTCCGAGGTCTTGATATCGCACATTTTTCTTCAATTTCGGCACAAACGTCTACTTGGCTTCAAGGATGAACTGATTAGAATTTGGTTGATTGAAGGCTAATGTACTTTTTGTTACTTGTTAGACGCTTTTATAATTTGGGGTGAAGTGTCTCAGGGACACAACGACATGCTGACTGCAGTGGGGTTTGAACCTGTGACCACCTGATCCCCACACCAACGCTCTAGTCCACTGCGCCACAGCCTTCCAGGATTCTTGCTTTTCTAAATTGTTACCTTCATGGTAGATGGCACCTTGGATAAAGGCCTGAAATTGAATGTAAATCAAGAATTTGTTGATATAAGTTCAAGGTGACTGAACTAACAAAACACGTTTTCTGTCATATGCTAATTATGATATCATTTGACACGTATGTCTAGAATTAAATAAGGTGATAACATTTGACAGACATTGGATTAGACATCAGATTGGATAGTCAGAAAAGGACACACAATTCCATACTGCTAAATGTGACTGGATGCAAAATGACATCCTGGTATTTTTTGGCATCCTGCAATTGACACTTTATACTTTTCTGGTATACTAAATAGTACTCGCACCGCAGAATGTCGTACTGCATACGCTAATTTGATTAATCTAGTGCCATCATCTTCTTTTCAGCGGAGCAGAAGCTTCAGTGGATGTTTGAGTCACATGTCTAATTTACGTTGTTTTGATTGCACGGTTTTTATCGACGCTATTTCCACTTCAGCCAAACATTTGTCCTAATTGTCTTTTGTTTCCACTCACAATTAAAGACAGTGTCATTTCACACATTGGTATACATTAATTTAAATGACAAAAACCCCACATTTCTTCACAGATTAAAGTCAGTGGACAGAAACAGGCAGTCCAAAACATGTTTTCTTTTTTATTCGAGTGACGGTCAGACTGCAGTCCAGAGACATTCAGGTAATAGACAGTGACACACATCTGTACACAGCGCTTTACACTGAAGAGGTCAAACACCTTCAGAACAGGAAGAAACAACTCAGAAGAAACATGTTAAAGGGGGAGCACGCTACAAAAATCAATGTTTACTTATCTGTTGATCAATGGTGGTGGGGGGGGGAGATATTGTAACATCCATGCAATGAATTATACTGGAAACAACACAACTGATGGCACCCGCGTTACTACAGATCATCACCTTTTTAAAACCTCAGTCCAACAGAAACGACAGCATTTAAAACTCTGATTTTGGCGTTTTCAAGAGTGGTCAAACAAAGTATTTCCAACAAAGAACAAACCTTCTAGTTCATAAATAATCATTAATATTGTTATTAGATTTTTTTTAGTAGTACAGGAAAAGCCATACCCTAGACAGCGTCACACACAGGTTCCATTTACTTCAATAACGTACTGAATTTTACAATCAACCAATACCACGGTAGTGTACATGGGCCAGAGCACAAAACATAGAGAATGCTGCCGTTATTTTTTTATCTAACACACTGACTGAAGAGACTAAAGCACTGAGAAGAATATCACATCCTGACCTGACAGTACCCCAAACTACGAAATAGTGTTACCTGAAACCACCAGTCTCACCTGACCACAGTCAACAGGTTATACGGAAGATTTAAAGAACTGTACCAGCGTTTTTTCATCGTTTATTAGCATATATGTTCATGCTTGAAGGATTATAACTTTAATGTTTTGTCCGAGTTTAATTATTTTGAAGTTCAAGCAGCTATTAAGCGTATATTTGAAGAAAAAAAAAACAAGGCTAATAGCTGTTTAAAAAGGGAGTTGTAATGTTGACACACATTGTAGGAAACTTCGATGTTGCACCATTTCCTAAAACAATATAAAAGGAATGTGTTCTTAACTTATGTATTTTCATTTATAACGTGTACTCGCTTAACTACGTGTTCTTCTAAAAACTTCAGGGAGTAATTGGTTCTAATATTGACACAAATTGAAGATAAAAGGATAAGACTTTAATTTGCACCCTTTCCAGAACACCTATCCGAAAAGGACATTTTTTGCTGACACAGTCTGGTCGTGCTCACAGGTCAATCTTAATTACCAATTATTAAATCCTTATTACCTCAAACAAACACATATTTGCCTCATCAATTTTCCTTAAGACCACATCTGAAATCTGCATCGTTACTTTAAAATATTTGATTATCATTTATTTTGTCGATAACCCTTTTTATTCAGATACACATTTGTTGGGGCTTAATCTGTAACACAGAGCCCGTTCTTTGTTGGCACACGTTTGTGTAGCGTAGCCTTTTCTACGAGTGTACACTTATTTGGATTACATGTAGAAAACAGAGCCTGAACTTTGAGTCGTTTGTTGCCCTACTAAGTTAGGTTCACGGCTGCAGGAAATGTGAGTTTCAGTCAGTATTCTAGTACAGTTTCACCCCGGAGCTTTGCGATGCGCGAACACAAAGTGTACGTGTGACCAACGACATCATGAGGTTTACATAGCGTCACTGAATAAACAAAGAGCTTTTTTGTCACAATTCGACATTAAACTGTGATTATTTTAACACAAAAAAGGAATCCTGCCGGCTGCACTGAAGGCAGGCGATTCTCACTTTTGCAAACCAACCTAAGAATGACATAGTATTCAATATATAATGAGATCTATACAACAACTTCATGCATTAGAATCATGATTATAACTGCAAACCCCAGTTGTGCGCTCTACAGGTCAATTACATCATATCGTTTTATATTTGGCTCTTTTCATCAAATAAAAAAACACACACACTTTGTAACTCACACACCTTGACAGTGACACTGATAATATATCTATTTAGCAGAAGGACTACCTTTATTTTGGGGAAATGATTACATGTGTGTAACAGACTTATGGTTTCCTCCTCTGCACTAAAACTTTGACACACACATGTTCAAGAAAATAACTTTTTCTGCACCACAAAATCGAATTAACCTCACACACTCACACATTTGTCACACACACACCACACAACATGTTGTTGCACGTGGATGCACGCCACACACACACACACACACACACACACACCAGGACTACAGATTGGCGAGTGAACAACGACACAGACACACACACACCGACATGGTTGGCATGGTTACTATCTACATCAGGGCCCAACGTCCACCCAACCCTGTCACCATGGCAACAAATCCAGACCCTCCCTCTTTCGTCAATGGCAGGATCAGTAAATTAGCCAACTAGCGATCCTTAACCTCCCACACACACACTTTTTTCTTTTAGCCTGAGACTGCACTGACTGAACCTCACCAACATAAAAGCCCATCCTGCTCTGTGATTACATACACTCCTATAGACATTAACGACATGGGGCAGTTTGGCAGCTTCTAAAACGTAAACATAAACAGACCTGACTTACCCAGAATCCCCCCAACTCGCCCTGATTTATACACACTCAACACCCAACATAGGACACTGTCTCAAACCACACACATTCCCTGGTACCATGGGAGATCTTTGTAGTTGTTTTATGTCTCTGTCGTCTTGTGGTAGTTTTCCAACTCTTTGTAGTTATTTTGTTTATTTGTATGGTTGTTTCTATGTAGTTTTTTCAGTTGTTTTGTGTGTCGTCTTTGTTTTAAACCTCTTTGCGGTCCTTTTGTGTGTCTTTATGGGGGATTTTTTACCGCATTTGTTGGTATTTTGCATGTTTTTGTACAATTCAAGTACCAGTATGTAATTGGAGACAGTGCCTATCATTGGTCTAATCTGACGTAACTAGCCTACCTACAGTACAGTATATACCTACCTACAGATAAGATGTGAGATATTGCACTTAGTCACAAAACATCGTTGTTGTTTTTTTACAGCATGTGGAAATCTACTAAATTAAGTCACTGTCTGAGACACACAGTACAGTATGGCACTTAGTTGATTTCTAATTTAAGATACATGCAGATTGAACACACAGGGTTACTGTTAACTGCAGCGGGGAAAGATGAAGGAAAGACCAGACCGTACTGTAGCTTTTAAAAAAAAGGATTTGGATGAAAACAAAAGGATGAAGGTGCTATGTGAGTGTTTCTGCACATTGTTTTAATCTAATACTGCTTTGTGGTGGAGTCACTCACTTGTTGATCCCTTCATCTCTTGGTCAAAATAGTGTTTCGATACTGCAAAGTGGCCTCCTCTTCTACATTCCCTCCTGTTGATTTCTTTTCATCTCACTTGCTCTGATTTGCAAAGTTTAACACACACTTCAAAAAGACTTCAGATAAAGCTGGAATGTGTTTAAGGAAAGGAAAGAAAAGTGAGCAAGAAGAAGGAACAAAGGAGGAAAGGCCATTTTCTTTTTCTCCAACAATTACTGAAAAACTCAGCCCAGATAAACACATACACAGCCGCAGGTGTAACATCACAGAAAGCTAATTTAATATCACTTTCTTCGTATCCCTCACCCCTGAACCTACTATTCCTCCATCAGGTCTTCCTTATCTAGTAAATGGGAACCTGGTATGTGGGCGCTGCGTTGTTCTCGGTGAACGGCGGGCTCTGGTAGGTCTCTGAGGTCTCGGTGGTTTCGCCCACCGGTGAGTTGGAGGGGTACGGCTGGGTGGGGGCGCCGCCGTCCATGTGCTCCGTGGTGAACAGAGTCATGTCTGTGCCGAGCAGATACTTCTGGACTGCACGGACTGTGAGACCGGCCTGCAGGGGGGGGGGAGGGGGAGAGGAGGGAAAATAGATGGAGGAATATTAAAGGCCACCTATTATACTGTTTTTCATCAATATATTATATGTCTCAGATATATACTAAACATGTCTCTGAAGTGTTTTGGGTTACCTTGGTTGCTGATTGGCTAATGGTTACACAAGCCAAAAAAATCGTTATGACATAAAGTGGCCAAAATCTGATCAGAAACGTTCAGAATCTCTTTATGCAGAGGGGACACATGGTTATTTATAAAAGACATGTGGATATTGCACAATAGGTGACCTTTAACAACTCTAGTTGGTGCATGGACGACGGTGGCTGTGTGGTCGTGTTTCAATCAGAAGGTTGTGGGTTCAATCCCTTGTCGATGTATCCTTGGGCAAGATACTTAACCCTAAATTGCTCCCAATGACATGGCTGACGATGTTTGAGTGTGTTGTATGATTGTTAGCTTACTTGATCAAAATGGCACATTGCTCCAAATGAATGTGGTGTGAATGAGGGCTCGTAAAGACTCACTAAAGTTCCCTAAAAGTATAGTCCATTTACCATTCACTAGTCAAGCCAGACAGAATCAATAAAGCCATGTTTTCACAGCCAGATCACAGTTGGACACGTTAAAGTATTGTCCCCTAGCAGATGATAAAATCTTGCCAGAAACAGACTACTTTTAAGAGTTCATGGATGGCTTATCAAACAGAGCTAACAGGCTCTGGGGCCCGGCTGCTCAGGGGCCTCGAATCCAGAGAGGCTGTCTGTAGTGTTGGCTTTAACTTCGGAAAGTCTCATCACTCAGTGAAAAGTGTGCATGTCCTGCTCAACATTATTAGACATATACAGTAATATATACAATGTATCTGAGGAGAGGACGTAGAGAAAGGAGTGTCACATCCTCTATTTGTCTCCGGGGAGATATTCAGGTGCTGTTAAAAAACAACGCAGCTGAAGTCATGGTTGACAAGATGTGATTAAAAAATATGTTGAAATGATTTTCTATCTATAGTTAGGAGGGGGCTTCCATGCATATCTGCCGACGGCCCATAGTTTCATAATCAGCCCATTGTTTATAATAGATTTTATTTAAAAGCTGTGTATGTTCTCTGCAGTCCTCAGGGACAAACCTGGAGGTTGTGAGGTTCAGAGTTATTTTGATGGTTCAGTGAAGGAGAGAGCATATCAGTCACGGATTGGATGGTTAAAGGATGATCTGCACTCAATAACCCATATCCCAGGGGGGGGCCAGATTTTTTGATTGTGGGCCATAAATAAAAAAATAATCGTAGTAACCGGCCGAACAAAAGTACTTCATTGTTCTTGACAAGTTAGACCGCAAGAAACAGTGTTTCTAGACCAGAAAACTCATACAATTTGCCACCGCACAAAATATTAAGTGCATTTAGAACAAAGCCAAATATTTGTTTATGTTCGTGGACCAAGCGCTCATGTAAAAGATAACAATAACAATCTAAATGTATAAGCTGTGTATCTGTTAGTCTAATTTGAAATGTTACAAACAGAACAGGAAGAAATTGAAAAATATTACTTTCCATGCCAAAAGGTTAAGACTGATATAATCTAACTAATTCTAATTTCACACTGTGTATGTGTATGTAGTGGCATGTTCTTACCCAGGTGATTATGGAGAAGAAGGAGAAGGCGATGGCCGCCCGGGCTGCGTCCGCCCCCTGGTTGAGTGGCAGCTCGTCAGCCATGGTTTGAGACCACTGATTGGCCAAGAAGCAAAAACTTACAAAGTACAGGAAGGCCCAGAAACCTGCCAGAAACCAGCAGGACAGAAACAAGCCGTTACAGCAGAGAGAAAGGTAAACTCCAAGTAAACATGAGACACCGTCTGCAGCTGCTCTCAGATCAGAGCCAGCAGAAGCAGTTATTTGTTCCTCATTTCTCTTACATCTATTATCTATGTTCACACGTATAATTGTTCTTGATGTCTTGTGTTTCAAAAACGATCTGAAAAAAAGAAGTGGGCCTACTTATTTTTGTCATTTTGGGGAAACCCAGTCTATTTAATCCTTTAATCACAGGCTGTGTCTTGCACTTCCTGACTCTTTAGATGAATAATAAAAATAGGACCAAACTTGAAAAGCATTCAGCTGAAACAAAGAATCAGGCCCCACCCTTTTTTTTTGCATGTTGGGAAAACCCAGCCTTTAGATTTTTTCAAACACAGACTAACTTCGAAATATCCAATGTTCAAATGCTGTGTCTTCCAATTCCTGAATCTTTTGAAGGAAGTAATGGACCCTTATCATATCGACTCTGTTCTACCTGTGTAAAAACAACCTAACTTGACTTCCTTCTCACCTGAGAACCCGATCTCAACCATGATGGCCTTCTTCCTGTCCTTGACGGAGCTGATGGAGGCGAACTTGTAGTCGAGCAAGAAGAAGAAGGAGCAGGCCAGCAGCCCCACCAGGCCCACGAACACGCCGTAGTTGCAGGCGTCTGCGTTCTTATTGAAGATGCAGTGGAGACGCTCGCTGCCCATATTGACATAGCCCTCGTTCACGATGGAGGCGAAGACCACCAGGGAAAATATCTGTGGACGGGGTGGCAAGAGGAGGAAAGATTGAGAAGAGGAAGAAAGCTATAGACATGTAGGAGGAAATGGACGAAGAAAAAAAGATCATTAAAGAGGTTTATGCTTTTGGGGGTTTTCCCTTTCTGTAGTGTGTTATATAGGTTTTTGTGCATGTAAATGGTCTGCTAAGGCTAAAATCCCTGTGTTCCCTCCAGAGGTTA